TAGGGTGTGTGTGTAGTGTGTGTGTGTAGGGTGTGTGTGTGTAGGGTGTGTGTGTGTGTAGGGTGTGTGTGTGTGTGTGTGTAGGGTGTGTGTGTGTGTAGGGTGTGTGTGTGTATTGGGTGTGTGTGTGTAGGGTGTGTGTGTGTAGGGTGTGTGTGTTTAGGGTGTGTGTGTTTAGGGTGTGTGTGTTTAGGGTGTGTGTGTGTAGGGTGTGTGTGTAGGGTGTGTGTGTAGGGTGTGTGTGTGTGTAGGCTGTGTGTGTGGGCTGTGTGTGTAGGGTGTGTGTAGGGTGTGTGTGTGTAGGGTGTGTGTGTGTGTAGGGTGTGTGTGTAGGGTGTGTGTGTAGGGTGTGTGTGTGTGTGTAGGGTGTGTGTGTGTGTAGGGTGTGTGTGTGTAGAGTGTGTGTGTGTAGGGTGTGTGTGTGTAGGGTGGGTGTGTGTGTAGGGTGTGTGTGTGTGTAGGGTGTGTGTGTGTGTGTAGGGTGTGTGTGTAGGGTGTGTGTGTGTCTGTGTAGGGTGTGTGTGTGTCGGGTGTGTGTAGGGTGTGTAGGGGGGGTGTGTGTGTAGGGTGTGTGTGTGTAAGGTGTGTGTGTAGTGTGTGTGTGTAGGGTGTGTGTGTGTAGGTGTGTGTGTAGGGTGTGTGTGTGTAGGGTGTGTGTGTGTGTAGGGCGTGTGTGTGTAGGGTGTGTGTGTGTGTAGGGTGTGAATGTGTAGGGTGTGTGTGTGTGTAGGGTGTGTGTGTATGGTGTGTGTGTAGGGTGTGTGTGTAGGGTGTGTGTGTAGGGTGTGTGTGTAGGGTGTGTGTAGGGTGTGTGTAGGGTGTGTGTGTGTGTAGTGTGTGTGTAGGGTGTGTGTGTGTGTGTGTCGGGTGGGTGTGTGTGTAGGGTATGTGTGTAGGGTGTGTGTGTAGGGTGTGTGTGTGCATGTGTGTAGGATGTGTGTGTGTGTAGGGTGTGTGTGTAGGGTGTGTAGGGTGTGTGTGTAGGGTGTATGTGTAGGGTGTGTGTGTAGGGTGTGTGTGTGTGTGTAGGGTGTGTGTGTGTAGGGTGTGTGTGTGTAGGTTGAGTGTGTGTGTGTAGGTTGTGTGTGTGTGTGTAGGGTGTGTGTAGGGTGTGTAGGGTGTGTGTGTAAGGTGTGTGTGTGTGTGTGTAGGGTGTGTGTGTAGGGTGTGAATGTGTAGGGTGTGTGTGTATGGTGTGTGTGTAGGGTGTGAATGTGTAGGGTGTGTGTGTATGGTGTGTGTGTAGGGTGTGTGTGTATGTGTAGGGTGTGTGTGTGTGTGTAGGGTGTGTGTAGGGTGTGTAGGGTGTGCGTGTGTGTGTGTAGGGTGGGTGTGTGTGTAGGGTATGTGTGTAGGGTGTGTGTGTAGGGTGTGTGTGTGTATGTGTGTAGGATGTGTGTGTGTAGGTGTGTAGGGTGTGTAGGGTGTGTGTGTAGGGTGTGTGTGTGTAGGGTGTGTGTGTGTAGGTTGAGTGTGTGTGTGTAGGTTGTGTGTGTGTGTAGGGTGTGTGTGTGTGTAGGGTGTGTAGGGTGTGTGTGTAAGGTGTGTGTGTGTAGGGTGTGTGTGTAGGGTGTGTCTGTGTAGGGTGTGTGTGCGTATGGTGTGTGTGTGTATAGGGTGTGTGTGTAGGGTGTGTGTGTGTGTGTAGAGTAGGTGTGCTGCCTTGTGCTATGTGTGTGTGTAGGGTGGGTGTGTTGAGTGCTTGTGCTTCCTAGTGTATGGTGTGCTGTTGTGTGTGTGTAGGGTGGGTGTGCTTCCTAGTTAATGGTGTGCTGTTGTATGTGCTGCATTAAGTGCTTTGGTGGGCTTTCGTGTGTGTGTGTTGTCTTGTGTTTGTGTTGTGTATGCTGCCTTCTGTGTCTGTTCTGCTTTGTGTGTCATGTTATCCGTGTGTTGTCTTGTGTACTATGTGAAGGGCGTATTGTCCTGTGTGTATGTGAAGGGTGTGTGTGTTGTCTTGTGTGTATGTGAAGGGTGTGTATGTGAAGGGTGTGTGTGTGTGTTGTCTTGTGTGTATGTGAAGGGAGTGTATGTGAAGGGTGTGTGTGTGTAGGGTGTGTGTGTGTAGGGTGTGCGTAGGGTGTGTATGTGAAGGGTGTGTGTGTATTGTCTTGTGTGTATGTGAAGGGTGTATGTGTGTAGGGTGTGTGTGTGTGTAGGGTGTGTGTGTGTAGGGTGTGTATGTGAAGGGTGTGTGTGTGTGTTGTCTTGTGTGTATGTGAAGGGTGTGTATGTGAAGGGTGTGTGTGTGTTGTCTTGTGTACTATGTGAAGGGGTTGTTGTCTTGTGTGTATGTGAAGGGTGTGTGTGTTGTCTTGTGTACTATGTGAAGGGTGTGTGTATGTGATGGGTGTGTGTATGTGAAGGGTGTGAGTGTATGTGTTGGAGGGGAGCGGTGGCGCAGCGGTTAGCGCACGGCCAACGACAGTGACAAATATCTGAAACCGGCCCTGCGCCTCCCCTAGGTCGACTCAGCCTTAAAACGAGTACCTGGAGCGGTGTTTCCCCCCCCCCCATCCCCACCCTTTCTAATGGTATTTCGGACTTAATAGGTGCTCGCTAACAGCATTTTTCCGTCCGGGGGGTCTTTGTACTGCCTTGTGTGTGTGTCTGGCTGTGTGTTTTAACGTTTAGAAACGCCAGTCTCATTAACATCATCATCATCCTCCATCGAACATCAACCCTCGTCAACAGCACCACCACCATCGTCATTAACATCGCCCAAGTCCGCGGTTGATGTCATTCCGACATCACAGCAAAGGGCATCATTCTCCCATCATCATCATCGCACGTTCCGAAATTATAAGACGCTCCCCGGTGCATCTATAATTAATTGTGACATTGACGATTCCTCTATTTGTTAGGTCGTATCATTTTTTAAAAGGATTTGACCGTTACAAGTTGTACTACACCGCCTATGTGCACACACACAGACATAGTGCTCGCGAACAGCACTTGCCCCGACAGTCTCTGCTAAGGCTATACGGGGGACCTTTGTTTTTATTATTGCATGGGAGGGGCAGCAAGAAGATACAAACAAAGGCGATGCTGGGACAATAGGGGACCACTCCATCATAGAGACACAGGCAAAGGTCCCCCGTACAGCCTTTCACTGACTTTTGGGCCAAGTGCCGTTTGCGAGCCATCCATGAAGGGGGTGGGTGGCCAGAACCACGCCCGGCCGCCTTTGTCTCCCCCAGTGGCGATGTTTACTACACACACACCGCAACAGGTAATTCATTTGAGGCTGAGTCGACCTGGAGGAGGTCCCAGGACCGGCTGGTGTTGGCCGTGAGCGAGAATCGAACTCGGGGCCGCCGGGTTCGAAGCGCAGCGCGCTAACCGCTCCGCCACCACTCCCCACGTAACACAGGGCAGAAACCACAACCACACACAGAGCCACACAGACACACAGAGACACAGACACACAGAGACACAGACACACAGACACACAGACACAGACACATAGACACAGACACACAGAGACACAGACACACAGACACATAGACACAGACACACAGAGACACAGACACACAGAGACACACAAAGACACAGACACACAGACGCAAAGACAGACACACACAGAGACACAGACACACATACAGACACACACTCAAAGACACAGACACACACACACAAAGACACAGACACACACACAGACACATAGACACAGACACACAGAAACAGACACACAGACACTGACACACAAAGACACACACACACAGATACACAGACACACAGACGCACAAAGACACACACAAAGACACACAAAGACACACAAGACACACAGAGACAAAGACACACAGACACACCGTGGGTTTCTTGGCCACACTAATAATAGCCGAGCTATAACTCAGGCGAACCCATGGAGCGTGAACATCGGCCCTGTGTGTTGGGAGGACACAGTCGATGAAGTCATCGATTGTTCTCTCCCTTTCCTCGTGTCGTGTCATCTTCGGGAACACCATCACATGCTCTCACAGCTCTCGTCGCCAGTGGCATGGCCATCATCGTCACACTTCCATCATTATCACGTTACACACTACACATCGTAATACAACGCCTAGGATCATACCATTTCGCAGTAGATATGCAATACTTACATCGTTGCGAATTAAATGTCATCATCACACAAACCATTTCATGGTGATCTTAATCCCATTACCTGCTTGACACGCTGCAACACGTATCATTTTCATCGTAATCCCATTATGTATTTAACATCATCATCACTCAATCCAAGTTATTATCATCATCATCATCCCAGATAGCATTTAATATCACCATGATTATGTTTAACAGAACAATATGATCTTCATGCATCGTCTTCATCTGGCATGGAATTGTTGTTGTTGTTGATGTTGTTGATATTGCTGCTGTTGTTGCTGTGGGTTATGTTTTTTTTCTATCCAAAGTGTTCTCACTAATACGTCTAGAGTGCTTTTTCCTCCTTCGCTGCATGTCTATAACCTTACCGCGTTATATACAATAGAGCCAGCAGCTACTGCCTGACTCATCCATATCGTGTTTGTGCATCATCATCATCATCAGCCGTACGCCGTTCGCTCCCGTTTTGGCATCTCCCTTTGTATTTGCATTATCATCATCATCACCACTACCAGCCATGACCTTTCCACTGCTGGATGAATCCCCCTCCCCCAACATAATCCCACGATGCAACAATCCACCGACTGGCACCTGCACGCGAGCTCATTTCATCGCTCCGTCTCTTCGTGGAACGCGCTCCGGGACGAGTCTCATCCCTGGCGTGCGTCCTCTCGTCCATGGCGTGTGTTCCTCCTTGTGTCTCTCAATGTCATCACTCCAAGCATCTATCACCCCCCACCCACCCCAAACCCACCTGCCCCCACCACATTACGGGCTGTATTCCTGCAAATGTGATTGCACTCCACTGTAAATGTACATCTTGTCTCAGTTCTGATTTTTATTTTCTGCAACATACCTGGAACAACCTGGCCACGTCGCTGGGGGTGGTGGTGGTGGGGGGGGGAGTTTAAACAAAAGGCACGTTGCTTAGAATCTCACCACTCCCCTACCTGGTCGCAGCCCACCCAGCAGCAGACATTGGGGTTGCATTGCGGCTAGGGGATCGGCAGGTCGGGTGGAATAACCCCCCTTCACCACCGCTTCCAAAACGTGGAAGAGTAGGATTTTTAAAGTCCCTGTACGCGTGGCTCTCTAGAGCTCCCTCTAGTGGAGGCTCTTCCGCCAGCAGTGGCTGGAACAAAATAATGACAGTAGACTGTTTTTATGTGTGTGTTTTTATTGATTAATTTAAATGCATAATGTGGTGGAGGATCATGGTGTACGTAGTCTTTCACGACCATCATGAGTCATAATTGGTTTCTTTAGGGGTCGGATCATCGTGTCGGTATAATGTCTATTTTAAACGATTGCCTTCCACCATCCGACAGTCGATCACATGCGGGGGCATATTGTGCCAATTGATTTGGTTCATCAGAAAACCGGAGGAATGTTGAAGAGCAAGCAACATTCGACAGTTTTATATCCGATGTTTCCGACGATGCTAGGGGTACATTATCCCTATCATCATCATCAGCTGCTTAACAAAAGCTCAGCTTTTTTAATATCTACACGTCATTTTAAACATTTCATTGGACTTTTAAACACATCTCGAGACTGCCAGCTGCAGTCTCTCACTCAGCCTCCGTGACAGCGTGCTCATGCCACGGCTGCTGTGATGTGAGCATGCGCGTGTGTGTAAGCATTCTCTTTCCCGTGCCCCTTTAGCAAAGTGACTTCATGTACGTTAATAATGAATGAGGTGAGTGACGTGGGAGTGAGTTGTTGTTGTTGTTGCGTGTGATGAGCATGGGGTAACGATGATGCTATGTTTATCTGCTGTGCCGTGGTTGCGTGTGTTTAAAATACTAACTCGTGCACTTACTTATTCTATGGGTCTTTCGGTAAAGCCACGTAGGTAGAAAAATATTAAAAATATCACGATGTTTCGATCGCAACACAAGCAATCGTCTTTGGCTATCTACGTGACTTTGCCGAAAGACCCATAGGATATGTATTCCTGCAGTCACGAAAGCTTTAAGTCAAGATTGTGCACTTACTTAGAAAGCTTTACCATTAATACCGACAAACAGCAAACCTATTTGGGCGAATGTGTTTTTTTATTACAGTAATACAAAGTGTATTTGGTGCATACTCATGTTGTGTTTTTCATTATTTAAGTATATTTATTTCCAGCCAGTTATATTCCCATTTGCATCAGCATGGTGTCATGAGCTGAATACATCGCTTGTTTGCAATAAGTTGTGCACCACACCGTCATAGAATGGACCCAAATAATTTCAAACATTTTTGTTTATCTGTTTCCAATCCCCCCCACCCACCCCATATTGCAACAAAAAGTTTCACGTTTAAAATCCGACCTCGCATATCCGCCCACACCAGTTAACCGATCTCACCCACTGCTGCATTTGTGCACGGTGTAACTGGCATTTGTTAACAGATAATTATCAGAAATCTCTTGCATCTTTTGACCTCGGTCTCCACCCAGCAAGTCCGACATGCCACGTTGTGCAGCACCATCGGCATTTAGTCGTGGGAACAAGAATCTTCCATTCACGACTCCAGCAACAAGCGGACAGTGTGATGATGATGATGTCACCACATACATAATACTGAAGTAGCTACATTAGCCCTCCCTACCCAAGCAAGACAAGCTTGTTAATGTCCTCTACGGAATGTCCGTTGCGTGTCAGTCAAACCTACAGTTTGAATTCTACGAGGGTTGGAATAGTCGCAAGTGAAAACACGCATTTAATGCGGTGAGTTTTTGTTGTTGCTGTTGCTGTGTAGTAACTGTAATGAGACCAATCAACTCTCGCTGCACTTGAGAACCCAGTTTAATCAGTTGGCAGCAGGAACCCAGATTTAAAGCCAGGATCTCAGTGATGCCAGTGCAGTGAGTCAACATGGCCTTAACAAGTCCCCTGACCAATTTGGCCGCCTTAGATTTTTATTCTTTCGTGGTACTCTGTTGTATTCTTGTCGATGATTTGGTTCGTGTTGAAACCGAGAGGATTCGTGATTGTCATTCTCTGCTGCTGTCCCCATCACCAGGAACTCCCTTCCCCCATACCATCTGTGCTCTCAGCACCCTGCCCCTGTTTAAGTTCCAGCCTGGAGGCATTTTACGTCTCTCCTCTGCCTGTGGCTGAATATCCCTCTCTATAAATAACAAAAAAAATATGCCCTATGTTCCGTACAGCAGCTTTGAGACCGTCATGATGCTATATAAATGCAAGTTTTATTGTATTGTTAATCTACAATACAATATTTAAATGAAGACAATTCTCAGGACAATCACAGAAAAACAAAAAACCCACGAAATACTGGTATTGTAATTGTACCAAATACATTTTTTGGAAAATTACAAAAATTCGTCATCAGGGATCAGGAAATGTACACCTGACTGCACAGCTTAAGAGAGCCCTCTGTAGATCCAGTTAGAGGATTTCATGGCAGGAGTCCGTTAGTGTCTCATTCCAGGCCTATTCCTTGGTAAGATGCTATGTCTGTCCAGGACTGCGACCGAGCAAATATTTCTGCGCCCGGCACGCCACGTCCAACATCCCGCCTCACCATACATGGCTACTAAAGACGTGCTTACTCCAATCGACCTGGAAAATATTCGTTGAGAAAGGTATCGAAAATACAGGTGTTTTTGGGGGGGGGTTAGATCTCTTAAATATATAAATGCATCGTTAAACCCGCCACCACCCGACACAGCCAATTAGTAAGGTTTGTCATGTTAACAGAACATGCCAATTTGTGTTGGAGAGCCAAGCCACAACATTTACTTTGCTCTCCAACACACAACCGGTGTGCTGTACTAGTAACGAATTGGCATGTTCTGTTTACGTGACAACCCTTACTAATTGGCGATGTCGGGTGGTGACGGTTTTAACGACAAATTTACATATTTACACGATCTAAGCCAAATAAAAAAAACCTGTATTATGGTTGATATTGGTCGCGAAAGCCTACCACGTGTTAAACTCAGAAAAGTATCCCTGGTCACAGTTGGTGGCTTGGGTTTCCGCTGATAGAGTGGCCGTCTGCCCTACTGCAGGCGCCTGCTGAAGTTGACCTTCCACTCGTGAAGGTGCCCGAAGCAGTAGCGCGTGGCCAAAGCTCGAGAGAGAAACAAAATGCTCAACGTGCAGCCCAACCCACAAAACCGCACTTGGCTCACGAGTGGCTATGAAAACCCGCGCATTCAAGTCCTAGATTGTGCCGCTGTGTTTCATTGCAGGAATGGTGCCGCGTGGCGCTGAATCGGACGCGGATCATCGTGGCGCTCGGGGTGCCGTGATGTCCCATCTCGCGAAGTCACGTCTCTTCGCAAACCCCAGCGAGTAGAAGTCATCGGGGAGACCGACACATCCGCGCGTCCTTCTTTCGCCTCCCTTCTCCCTGCTCGCCGCCTCTCGATGGCGTCCAAAACGGAGTGGAGCAACGAGAGTCTGCCCCCGAAGAAGCGCGAGCTGCTGCAGGGCAGCCTGCCCCTGGAGGGCGCGGCCCCGCCACTCCACGGCTCGCCGGGCCCGCCCTCCCGCACCGCGGGCCACGGCGACGGAGGCCGCGAGGCGCAGGGCCCCGCCGCGTACGCGGACTGCGCCAGGAACAGCGACGCGGCCCGCAGGGGCTTCGACTTCCCAGGCGACGCGGACTTCTGCCTCAAGCGCGACCGAGCGTCCGGCGACTTGGCGTGCGCCTACGGGGGCGGCCGAGACGGAGGCGCGGCGGCGGCGCTGCCTCCGGATGGATGGGGTCCGCTGGTCGTGGCACAGGGGCTCGAGGCGCGGCGCGAACAGAACTTTGGCCGGGGCGGCCCGGGCACCGCGGAGGGGATGGGCGGGGCCGACCCTCGCGGGAACGGTGGCAGGAACGCCCGGGCACCGACGGCCGCGGACGAGGGTCGTCCTTCGCCGGCGCAGCGGCCCCTGTGCCGCGGCACGGTGCTCGTGTCGGCGCCCGGCGCCACCGCCCGCACTCTCTCGGCCCCCTCCTCCGTGGCCGCCCTCGGGGTCGTGACCTCCGGGCCGACCCCGAGGTCGCCGCCCGCTGACGCCGCCGACCTCGCCGGCGCTGCTCGGGTTCACCGCCGGCAAGAAGCGCGCCCGGCGGGCGTGGCCGGAGTCGGGTACGCAGAGCCGGGACAAGACGGGCGCGGTGCAGTGCGGACGCAGCTGCCGGACGTCTCCAGCTGCAGAGCGGTGGCGCCTGCGCCCCCTCCTCCTCCTCCTCCTCTGCCGCCACCGCCACCGCCGCACCTGACACGTGGGGCGGTGATCGCGCTGGCGAGCGGGGAGCTGAAGCGCGTGGAGGAGCTGAGCACGGAGGACTTTGTGCGCAGCGCGCGTCTGTGTGCGAGCGTGCGCGTGCACGCGAGCCGCGTCGCCGCGGTGCAGCCGCTGTCCGGCGAGCCTGGGGAGCCCGCGGGAGGCCGCGTGCGGCTCCACTTCTGCCTGGGCGAGCGGCGCGGCCAGGTGATGGCGCGGCCGGCCCCCCGCTCGCACGCACACGCAGAGGGCACGCGCAGAGGGCACGCGCAGAGGGCACACGTAGAGGGCACACTCGTAGGGAGGAGACAAAATGGGTAGTTGTCTGACCTACCCTCTGCCACCTCCCCCCCCCCCACCCTTAAATCTTTAGTTGGCCATTGTATGTCCCAGACCGTTTTTTTAAATATTTCATGATTGTAAAATTCTAAATGAATAATTAATAATTCATGATGACATTACATTTTTCATGCATTGAATATTATATAATATTGCGCATTCTTGGATGACAGTGGACATTATTTGCCTCTTCTCAAGCATTTAACTGGGTGCGCCACTGTACAAAGACAAAGATCCCCCATATAGCCTTAACAGACGGTTGGGACTTTTAGCGAGGAGCACCAATGAAGGCCGACACGGCACACGAGGGGGTGGGTGGTCAGCACTACGTCCACACACACACACAACGTGCGTACCCACACAAAGCCGTATGGTACCAGCCTGCGCTATGGACGAAGTCAACTTTTATAAACTACACTTTTTTCCAGTTGTATCGAGGATGTTGGCTTAGAGAAGTAGCAGAGTTGCTCACAGTTCAGGCAGCCACCTGGAAACCAATCGGATTCTCAAGGTCATTGAGTTGATGGTATCAGGACGGTCACCAATTTGGATCTACGCCCAAATGACAATTTTATTCCTAAGATTTATTTTAGTGATTTATTATTTTATTTATATTACTCCTAAGAGATGTGAAAATCACTGTGTTTAGGTGTTTTAAGTTTATAAAGGAAAGTCATCATTCTGAATGTATGTGCTGTATGTTGAACTTCTTTAGCACCGTGCGTCGCCAACCGTGCTCATCGGAGGTGCTGCTCGAGTGAGCATGGAGCGGCGTTCATATTCTCTACTTGGCTGCTATACATTTCCACGTGATTAGCCACTTCGTTGAGCTATCATTTGCAAGCAGGTTGCTTCTAAAAAGAGCTGTATAGCTCAGTGGGCCTTATCTGGTTGAATAAAAATCGTATAAATAGTCTAGTTTATATAAAGGACGAAAATATCTTATTATATAAAGAAACGCAATTTGAGCAATTGTTGGTAATTGCGCGTTTACCATCCCAGTTGCCCTTCCAGTTTGTCTGTTGGTTCCTCGGCAATTCTGCAATGCAATTTGCATGAAGAACAGTGCGATGTATCAACTGAAATAGTATAATGCTGTGTCTAACATTTCTTGATCCTCCTCCTCTGCAGGTGATGCTCGAGGTGCAAGCGGAGCACCCGTTCTTCGTGTTCGGCCGCGGCTGGGCATCGTGCGAGCCGGCACTCTCCCTGCGCCTCCTCGGCCTTGCCTGCCGACAGCTGTGCGTGGGCGACATGTGCGTGTCGCTCACGACGCAGCCCAGCGGCGCCGACGATGACACCGAGCACCACCACCACCAGCAGCAGCACGAAGAAGAGTTCCAACAGCAGCAGCAGCAGCAGAAACATCAGCTGCAGCTACAGCAGCAGCACAAGAAGCAGCATGAGTGTCAACTCCATCAACAGCAGCAGCAGCAACAGCTTTACCACCAGCAGCAGCATCAACTTCAGCAGCAGCATCAACTTCAACAGCAGCAGGAGCGCCAGCTGCAGCAACAGCAGGAACGGCAGCTTCAGCAGCAGCAGCAACAGCAGCAGCTGCAACAGTTGCAGCAACAGAATCAGCAGCAACAGCAGCAACAACAGCAGGAACGCCAGCTTCAGCAACAACAGCAGCAGCAGCTACAACAGCAACAACAGAATCAGCACCTCCAGCACCTGCAGCAGCAGCAGCAGCACTTGGGCTGGAGTCGCCGCGTGTCGCTGGGCGCGTGGGAACGGGGCCACGGTGGGGATGATGTTCCGGACGGGCACGGGGAAGGTGGCGGCCGCGGGGGCCTCCGAGGCGGCTGGGCCGTGGCACCGCCGCAGGGGAACGGGGCCCAGCTGGAGCGGCGGCCAGGAGACCACGGGGCGCGGCACTCGGTGACGTGGCAGCAGCAAGAGGCCGACGACGACGACGAGGAGGAGGACGACGAGGAGGATGACGACGTGGAGGGCCTGGTGGAGGCGGCGGCCTCGTGCGCCGACGAGGTCACGGAGCTGAGCGAGAGCCGCAAGCGGCGGCGGTGGTCGGCGCCGGAGGGAGCGGGAGTCGCCGACAGGGGCCTGGGTCCGCGTGCCGTACCGCGGCACGCGCCGCACCGCCCGGGACTCATCCCCCACGCCCTCAAGGTGTCCATCGAGGGGCGCTCCACTGCCGGGAGATGAAGCGACCTTCGTGGTCCGACGGGTGGGGAGGCCGAGGCAATTGTCCAGGCTGCGCGAGGTAGAAGCCGGCGAAGGGGGTTAGATGCCTCATTTCCATGACCGCTGGGAACTTGGGGCCGTGGTGGCTCCAGTTGAAGTCCCAGGGCCTCAGGCCCCGGTCCCCACACTCGATGATCCCGTGAGCTCAACCGCTCCCGAATTCGTCCATTACCTCCCCCGGCTTTACACGGCCACGCAACCGTGGTCAGACGTGGGTGTTTGCCGAGTTTTGACTCAGGTATGCACAAGGCTCGGCCGTGTCGAAGATGAAGTTTGCGCGCATTTTTTGCTGCCGCGCAAATTTTTTTTGACGCAGCCGACAAGTGAATCCGAGCGAGCGGTGTCACAGGACGCTCGTCGCATCCCCACGTTGGATCCCTTGACATCGCAGCGGGTTCTGTGGCTCGTTCTTCTCCTCCAAGCGAGTGACTCGGCTTGAGAAGAGAAGTCGGTGGCCTCTCTGGCCCAGCCCGGAGCCAGTGTGAGGAAGTATTTTGACCCCCGTAGACTGTAATGCGCGCCCCCCGGGCATTCATACTCTACGTGATTTGAACCTCCGGGGTACAAATTATATTCAAGCAATATGGGTTCCCCGTCGACAAATGTTCCTTCCCTCTCTGGGTCAGTGCTACCTACACTTAGGGTTAGGGGGGTCTGCCCATGGTTCCTGTGGTGTATTCTGGCAAGACAAACAGGCCAACTCCCACCATTATCGCAGCTGTGAGGATAGAAGGATGACCCAAAATGGCTGGAGAAGGGGTGGGGGGAGTTAAACGCCTACACGGTGGGGCTGGTGGGTGCATCATGGGGGGGGGGGGGTGGTTAAAATAATAATATTCTTCTGTGGGGAGGGGGGGGGGGTCATGATCCAATCTTACATTGGCACCGAATCCCCACTGGTCATGGAGATGAGGCTTAGGGGTCATAATCAGGGTCAGGAAGTCGGCTTCGGGGCTGTGGTTGCGGGGAGGTTTGGGCGAGCGATTTTTTTTTTTTCCCTTCGATGCCCTTTTCTCCTCGGACGCTCGGTTACTCGCAGAAGCATCAAGTCGCCTTATTATTATTTACCTCTTTTTGTAGAAACGCGGCGGCTGCGGCGACGCGCCGCCGCCAGCACCGCCGCCGCCGTCACCGCCGTCGCGCGAACGTCGATCTTCTTCTGTCTCGCCTGGCGGCAGCGACGTCGACTCCACGAGGAGCCCCTCTGGAATAGTTCGGCAGTCGGGGAGCGATCGCCCACGCGCTCCTCGCGCGCCGGGGTTTGTGTTGTACTCAGGCCAGCGTTGCTCCTCCTTATCCACGAGTAACGCCGATCCATTCGTCCCCAGTCTCCAACGTGTGTGTGTGTGATGAACTTCTTTCGCGCTGTACGTAGCCAACCGTGCTAATCGGAGGTGTGGGGGGAAGGACAACAAACCATTGACACGGATCATCCCGACTTCCACCCCCCACCCCATCCCCGGATCGGCCACTGTCACACCGGTTCGCTGACAGTGCCCTCCATGGGGTTCAACCCTCGGTTCCGCGTCTTAAATATTGTGCTAGCTGCTCTCCTTGTCCGTGTGTTGCACCGATTCACTCTTCCCCGGTCTCCATTGACGCAGATCATCCCGTAGAGCCATGGACATAGCACTCACCCCTCCCCCCTACTTAATTGTAAAAAGTATAGATTAATATTCTTCATCGTAATCACGCATGATCTATCCGCTGCTGTACTAAGGCCTTCCCCCAAACTGTCGCCATCCCTTTGCGTGTTTTGTTGTCTTTGCGAAGCCACAATCCAGCCAGCGCCATCGCACGAGCCGATGTCACCCTCTCCGGCGCGTTCCCTCCTCCTCCTTCGGCTGACAATCCGTCGTTAGCCTTGACCACCGGCCATGTCTGCCTTCCAGTGGCGCATTCCGCCCACTGCTAATGCGTACGCTTCACTCGCGTAAAATATCGTCGGCTCGTAAAACTGGCGAGCGCTCAGTGGAGAAGACAATGTAGCTGAGGTGTGGGTAACACAAAAATACTGAATCGTTGACATCCACGTGTTAAACTGATCTTTGATCTGTTCGTTAAAGCTGCCTTATGTCATATCCCATCAGCTACAGCTCCGCCACACAGAAGCTGCTCGATTTCTCTCCCACCACCACACAACATAACTAATATCAGTGGCATAACCACAGCCCTTTGCCCCAGCTCCCACTCCCCCAATCCCCCCTCGTCCCCCTACCCCCGCTCCTACCAACATTGCGAAGTCAGCTAGCTCAGCCCATCTTGGCTCTTCTCTTTTTTGGCAATTCCTTGTGTCCGAGTGAGATGGTCACTCCACTCTGGAGTATGGTTGCCAGGACCGATGATGGATGGTAAGTGGACGCGAAGGTAATTTGCAACCCCGACTTGTCAAGTAGTGGTGCCACTCAAGCAAACCTGTGCTGGCCATCATGAGCACATTGTGCTGAGACTCCAGTGCCCAAGGCCACGTTTATTCTTTGGTCCTCTGCCCAATGGCAGTGCCTTCGGCCCCAGCTCTCTCCAATCCTCTATTCTTTCACATCGATAAGAAGATAAAAAATTACACTGGTCAACAACAACAAAAACATTTTTTTCTGGCCTGGACTTTTGCAGCTGTTCTAGACTAATTTCAGGGTGCTGATTCCAAATCTGATCTTATATTTGCTCTATCACATCTCATTTTTATGCTATCGGCATTCCCCATTTTCATTGATTTTACCCGAAATTAACTCTTGTCACTTATAATTGCAAGTTGTTGCGAGTCAGTGACTGCTTTAGTGTTAAAATATGGTGCTGTATTTTTAGGATAGTGTTTATAATATCATTTTATGCAGATATCCACATTTATTTAATATTTTTCTTCTGTAGCTATTATTGAAAATGCAATATTTGATATCTCAAAAACCTGATGTGATAGACAAAAATGCCAGATTTGGAATCAGCACCCCAAAATTACCTTAAAACCGTTGGAATACCTTATGCCATAAAAAGTGTGTTGACCAGTGTTATCAACGTGCAGAGAGGTCCAGTAAAATGACAGGGGAGCACCAGGGGTTGGGAAGCCCCAACATTATTTTCTTTTTACACTGGGCCCTTCATACATACATAAAGAAATCGATAAAAAAAAATTCTGGCAAACAAAAATAAGTTGCTAATTTTCTGGGTCTCAAGGGGATGGGGCAATTGCCCCTTCACACCCCCCCACCCACCCCAGATCGGCCACTGCCACAGCGGTTCGCTGACAGTGCCCACCAATAGGGTTCATCGCTAGGTTCTGGGTCCAAAATATTGTACTCGCTAAGGGCCCAACTCTCAGTCTGTGAAGCGTGTTCTGTGCTTGTCCTGTCGGTGTGATGCGTGTCACGGGCACTTAACTTCCGCGATCAGGGAAGGCGTGAGTGCTTGCTTTGGGACCGCGTGCTTTAGAGACCACGTTTTGGTGTCGGCCTTCGCTGCAGCTGTTTATGGTGGTGGTGGTGGTGTTGTGGATGTCAGTGGCATTGCTGTAGTGGGATTTAAATGTGTTGAGTTATATCTGTGATTGAAGAGGCCAGGTGGCTCGGGGAGATCACGAAACCCGTGTCAGGGCACTGAGAAACCAGTAAGCCACCCGAAATTTGAACCAAGCCCTTGGGTCTCGGTTCATTCGCTGTGCACGAAAATCCTACAAAATGGACTTTCGTACTTAATGCAGCCATGTTTAGCTGTGACAGTTAAAATGTACATAGTCTATAACACTAAAATGTGGTAAATCACTCCCCAGTAAACATGCAACAATGGGCCAACATTGGTTCAACGGCTCCAACCACGTGCCAACGATTTGGCCCAATGTTGGTATGTTTATTTGGTCATTTCCAGGAATGTGATGATGCATCAATTTAATAATATTGATTCTCTAAGCTCACGATACACGCATACACATTTTAAAATGTATGTGTTGTATCTCATGGGTTCATGTGATCTCAGCAGCCACTAGATGCAGCTATGTTCAACAACGTATAGAAATACATTCTCGACTTAAATCTTGACCTACAATCGAGACAATATATCCTATTGCCTCGGGGTGTATTGTGAGAGAGCAGTAAAGAGCCACTGTAAGAGAAACCTTTTTTTTTAAAGTGACTCAGAAGTGGTTCTATGGTTTCCGTTCCCTGACACGATATTGAGAGTCGATCGACTGAGCCAGTCGTGAGGGTGTCTCCATCTCTTCACGATGCGATTCAGCCAGGAGCACATCATAATCATGTACGATTAGTCAATTCCTCCACAAAACGATACCAATGAAACATTGCAGATGCACAACCACCACGCTGCTGTCCGAGCGTGCGGTGCAAATGCACTGGGGCCCACGGGGGCCAGAGAGAGAGAGGGCCCAGGCTCAGACCTACGAAGAAGAGGAGGCGGGAGAAATTGGACACAGAAGTGAGACACGAACTCCTTGCACCAAGGGTCGAATGCCAATGCCCGCTACGCCACTGAACACCGCAGAGCAGCCAGCAAAAGCGAGGAGTCGTGTGAGAGCAGACTCGTCGTGCAGTTATCACCGCTTTTATTTTGCATAGAAAACGTGCCGTGGTACGGCCCATTCGTTGGCAAAGGCAAAACCAGCAGCGCGCGGGGGGGGGGGGGTGGGGGGGACCAGCGAATCGTCCCGAGGGGCAAAGCCGTCTCGTTGTTGCGCACGTGTCGAGCAGCTCGGGCAACAGGGTACACAGCCCGTGTGCGCGCTCTACATATCCACGTGATAAGCCACTTCGTTGAGCTATCATTTGTGGCCAGGTCGTTTCTGAAAAAGAACTAATATCTCAGTGGGCCTTAGCTGGTGAAAAAAAAGATATAGTTCAGTTTCCGTGTATTTATTTATTTATTTTAGTGGGTTTTTTTCACCTTTCTCCCACGTCGCACTCCTATCGCTTGTTTGTATTGTTTTCCGTAACTTTGTGACCATGCTCCTACTGGACATGGACATCTGTGACAAAGAGCTTCATAACTCATCGGATTTCTCCAGGATAAATAAAGATTCTGATTCTGTAACGTGTGTTACTTCAGCGATAAAACGATGAAAAGTCTGCACAGAGTTGAAATGTAAAGCGTACCTCTCGGCGCCACCTGAAATTCAGTAAATTATTATTAGGATTGTTATATTGATAATTTTGATATTTTTTGTAACTTTTTTTTGTTATTGTTGATAGTCCCCTGTATTATAAACGTATACTGTAACCAATGCCTCTGAGCCAAAGGCATTTCAGTGTCTCATTAATCTTAGCAGACTCTTTGAAGAAATCCCGTTTTTTTTTGTCCATTTTAAAACAAACGACACACACGCACGCAAGCGATGCAGGTTAACGTGGCACTTTAAGTAAAAACGTTAAAAATGTTTCGTCCCGTAACTTTCCAACCCCCCCCCCACTACTCTCCCTCGCGGAGTTCCCTGCGGAGCAGCAGTTCAGGCGACCAGGAACGGTCGCGCCGTGGTGCCTGGCTCGCAGAGCTCGGGAAAAGTAATCGGTCAAAACATTTCCACGCACGGACGCCTGCCATCGGGGGTGCAGCCACCGTGGTTGTCGAAGGTGACCACCAGTCAGCCCGAACGTTCGCAGATAATGCCAAGATATTGAGATACCGAACATTTTAGATGCGGGCATAAAATTGTCGAACAAAAATCGCGTTGTTATTTTTTTTTTGCTCGTTACTATTGACGACGGAATCTTAAAACACGTGGTGGCACGTACTCAGTACAGAGTCAGTAGCCAGCAGCAGTTGTGTACATTTCGTATAATTATAGTGCAGTACAACTCCTCTATTCTGTGACGAAGTGGTGGGGGGGGGGGGGCGTGAACTTTACGAATCCCCCCTTTTTGGTTCTTTCGTAGGAGGGAAATAATAAAATTAAAAAAATAAAACAATAAAATAATTCTCACGACGTTTCGGCCACAACGCAAGCAGCCGTCCTCAGGTGAAGAACAGGTCTGTCGGGAAGACAGCGTCTGAATGAAAAATGAAATTTCGGGAAGACAGCGTCTGAATGAAAAATGAAATTTCATTCAGACTCTGTCTTCCCGACAGACCTGTTCTTCACCTGAGGACGGCTGCTTGCGTTGTGGCCGAAACGTCGTGAGAATTATTTTATAATATTTTATTTTTACTATTTTATTATTTCCCTTCTACGTGATGACCTTACCGAAAGAACCAAGAAGATGAATCCCTGCAGTCACGAAAGAAGCTTTCAATCGAAATTTTACGAATCCCGTCCGTAACTGGGCCAACAACCTTCGGGAACTCGCTCGCAAGTCGGGCAGCACCACGCAGTCGTGTCTGCGCCCCCAAATCTGTCGTCGTGGAAACGTTATTCAGCCGTTCTGGCCCGGCATACCTCAAGAGGTCCTGTGGGTGACACGATCTGCAGCGAGCGCCGGGTGCGATTGGCTGTGAGACGACGGGTGCAACCTTTCGCGAGTTCTTGTTCAGTGACATAATTAAAAATTCCCCGAACCTCTGAAATGTCATAGTTTATTCCAGTTTGTTTGTTTTTATGGCACAATATGCATTTTAAATAAACCTACCTTTAAAGGACATGGGATTTTTACATCTTCATTTTTCTGAGCATGCCTTTTTGACGGAAACACACGCACGGACGCACGGGGCATCCCGCCTTAGAGCGTGGGTAACACAAACGTATCGAACTAATCTAGGCCATGCTCTCAACCTGGATCGCTTCAGTGATCTGACTCGATCGCGATGGTCACTTCGTTAGGTATTAGAGATAGGAAGTAAAACATAAAGTACACGGCAAGACCAAAAGTGTTTCGGAGGAATTAACCACCTGCCCCAAGTGAAATCTTTCGCACGGAGAAAATAAATTAAATTGTCTCATTTTACCTAAATGCTTTGGTAGGTGCTCTGCGTGTAGCAATCCGCCAAGTCTTCGATTACAATCGATTATTCAGATCGCAATACATTCATCAAGCCATGCGTATCAGAACTGATTATTTAAAATGTATGTGAATGTTAATCGCACAAAACTGTAGAAATGGGATGGAAAAGAAAACGAGATAATACAAACGAGACGGTAAAAACGAGACAAAAAAAATCGATTGTTGATTCAAATCACGCCCATGCATCGTGACAATGCACCGAGTCGCCGGGTGGGTGGGTGCGTCGGTTACATGGCCAGCCGTAAAGGTTATAACACTGAACCGTTTGATTTTCTTCCGTGTTACAAGAGGCACAACTACAATCCGCAATGGCAAGCGAGTCCACAGCTACTGGCGCCACTGGGGCACCTTGACGAGCAGGGGTCTGTGTGGGGAGAGGAGGTTCAGGCGTGGGGGATGGGGGGATTAGTAGAGCTGGGATGATGATTCGGTCCATTCGATGAATCGATGAAAATGTATAACCAACTGAATTAAGTTTGTGGTATTTTGCTCGGGGCTCCTTTCCAAATGGCAAGTGCCCCCACAACATCCTGCCCAGAGGTCGCAAACTCCCGACACGCCACACCCGCCACGACCCAGTAAACATGCAACGTCGGGTCAACGTTCACCAGTGGTTGCAACCGTTGGATTGACGTAGGGCCGAATTTGTCTCAACGTTCCATGTTTCCTGGGCACGTGAGCTCATGATGCCAAAGGCCACAACCTCCCGTCTGGCGGCATGACGGGTTAGCAGAGGTGGGACATTTGCTTCTCAGCCGTCTTTCGCGCTCTCTCTCTCTCACCGATTTGTTCGAGCGATCGAACCGACAACCGGCGGAATAGTCGACGGCTTAAATAATCCGACGTCCCAACTCTTCGCATGCGGCCGACGCCCCGGGTGGCGGGCGCGGTGGCTCAGCTGAACATGCTGTTGAGCTGCTGCGTGACGCGGATGAAGGTGGTGCGTCGGCTCAGCTCCTTGAGCTTGGCGGCTCCCACGTAGGTGCAGGTGGAGCGCAGGCCCCCGAGGATGTCGCGGATGGTGTGTTCCGCGTCGCCGCGGTACTCGACCTCCACGGCTTTGCCCTCGGACGCGCTGCACATGCCGGGATGGAAGCGCACCAACCACCACGTGTGTATGTTGAACTTTGGGCGTGCGGTAACGTCGGCGTTCGCGCGAATCGGAGGTGCGTGCACTTGCACAAAAAAACGAATTCGACTACAAAAAATTTTGACTTTTTATTTAGCCAGCTAAGGCCCAAAGCTAGATAGCTTTTTTTTCAGAAGCAACCTGGCCACAAATGATAGTTAGATGACGTGGCTTGCGTGGAAATTTATAGCAGCCAAATACTCTAAACTCATGTTAATTCTAAATTTGGGGGGGAAAACCAGAGGAAACGGAGAAAAATCCACGCGACCACTGGTAGAACATGCAAACTCCAAATATACAGCAGGCGTCAGGGTTGGGATAGAACCCACGACCTCCTGTATACCAGGCGAGGTAGTTAACATCTCCTAGCCACCGTGGCACCCCGTGACAAACGTCTTCCTCTAGCTTTAACAGACTGTTAGGGCAATTGCTGTTAGCAAGCATCTATGAACAAGGGGGTGGTGTGGCCAGTACCACGCCCCAGCTACCTCTTTATTCCCCCCACGGCTCACGTTTACACAACCCCTTCTTTAGTTATGTCAACGCATAATCGATTCTTGCAGGCATTTAATGTGAAGGTCAGAATCGATTTTTCTTGATGAATCAACGCACTGTTGCATGCCCAGTGTGCAGTCCGTGTACATGCAGCAGAGGGAGCGGGCGGTGGTGATGGTGGTGGTGATGGTGGAGGCGGCGGTGGTGATGGTTGTGGCAGTGATGTTGACGGTCGTGATGGTGATGGTGGTAGCGGTGGTGGTGGTGGTGATGGTGGTGGTGGTGGCGACGGTGGTGGTGCTGATGGTGGAGGCGGTGGTGGTGGTGATGGTTGTGGTAGTGATGTTGACGGTCGTGATGGTGGTGGTGGCGACGATGGTGGTGGTGATGGTGGAGGCGGCGGTGGTGATGGTTGTGACAGTGGTGTTGACAGTCGTGATGGTGGTGATGGTGGTAGCGACGGTGGTGGTGGTGGAGATGGAGGCGGCGGTGGTGGTGGCATTGGCGCTGTCGCTCACCGATACTCCGCCACTCCTCCCGAGTACTTCTTCATGGCCATGTCGGAGCTCATCCCGTAGAAGAGTTTCACCTTCTTGCCATCGCGCTCCAGGGTCTCCCCACCGCACTGGTCGTGTCCCGACAGCATGCCGCCCAGCATCACGAAGTCCGCGCCCGCGCCTCCACACACACACACGCCAAGCACGCAGACAGAGAGATATTATTAGGTTTTGTCGGTAAAGTCACGTAGGTAAAACATTTAAATTAATGAAAGTAAAATAAAAAATAAAATCAAAATCAAAATCACGACGTTTCAGAGGCAACACAAGCTTCCGTCTTCAGGTGGAACCGTCACAGCACGACTGCTGCATCAAGTAAAGAGACATTCCAAGAAAACAGTCCTTGTATATATACTGGTTGAGGGTGGGAGGAGCCATTGTGAGGTTCGGTGCGGCTGAAGCACGCTGCAAGGAGTGAGCCTTTGTTGTGTAGACTGGTTGAAATGGGAGGATCCAAGAGTTGTTAAGGTGCGGCTGAGAGAGAGAGCCAGGTTTTTCGGGGACAGCGCTCGCAGAGCCAATGTGACGGTGTCACATTACGTGCATTTAAAACAAAATCATCATCGAATCGTTGGAACAAGGTTATATATAGAGCAACAAAAACACCCCCACTTGTTTTTCTCTTCGTAAAACTAAAATAATAACAACAACAACCAGTTTCCCATCTGGGTGAGATGCTACAGCAGAGTGTGAGATCAGGACAGGGGAGCCTCAGTCTGCTACGGTCAGTATCTGCTCTGTGAAGTGGGGGAGAAAAATGAAATGGGTACCTCACGTTTTAAAATATTACATTCCTTAATAATTTTAGTGATCCAGGGAAGCCAAGTGGCATTGGAACATTTGTTTAAGTTAGTTTTTTTCTTTAAAATCACGATAATTTTGTATATCGAGGCGAAACACGAACGTATCTATTCAGAAACTGCAAACTAATGCATCACCACAAGTCAATCAAACTGATATATCTAGTATATGCACGTAGAGTATATAATTTTTTTTTTCAAAACTGACATTTTATACATAAAGTAAAAAAAAACTAAAAGTTATAAAAATGAACTCAATTAAGCATATTTATTTTTTGATGCAATCATATGCAACCAATATATATCCATTGTAATTTATATGAATACATGAACCCCACCCCCCTTCTGGTCTTCGCACCTGATTGACTCACAGTGACGATATCACATTCAGCCCACGATTTAAAAACGAAACAGGAGGAGGATTTCTCCACAATTCTGGCTGTCGCCTGATGACGCTGGTTGTAATTACCGGCGAAACGTAGTAATCGAATGGTAAATGTTTGTGGGTTTACTCTCCAACACAGTGCTGTGCTGAACTAGTAACTAATTGGCATGTTTTGTTTACATGACAAACCTTACGAATTGGCTGTTTCGGGCGGTGGCGGGTTTAACGACGCATATTTACGCGATCTAATAAAAAAACAACCTCTTGTGGATGTTCAAAACCATCCACGCATCATGTGGCCACCGATTATCTCTTCTTAAACTGTCTCTGGATGAATTAAAATCTTGTGACTGTACAAAACACCCCAGAGAACAAATACTTAATTTATTTATAAAGTAATTTTCACAAACAAACGTTGATGTGGACCATGGTAAAATATAAAACGAACTATAAAATAGAATTTATCTGGAAAAGGATTTTTCAGGAGAGTTCTGCTTTTGAATGTTTAGCCATTTCATTTTGAAAGTGTTGTTTGTGTGAAGCGGAACACCCACCCTGCACAGGAGGGGACACAGATGAGTTTATAATCCACTTGCTGTCCTGCCATTGCATGACCATCTTAGAGCCCAAGCGGGTTTGCGAGACACACCAACCCTTGCGTATAAAGCGTTGGGATTATAATAGATGCGTGCCGCGATGTGCAGTTAAAATCTATCAACAAATAATTTGGCAATGTGAATTTGGAACATTTGAAATCAACTTCACCGCTCCAGGTCATTGGTGCAAATTGCATATTAAGGAAAAAAACTATACAAGCTATATTCTTGGGGAGAGTGGGAAAGCAGATGAGAGTGACTTAAGAGTTTGATACTTTTTATATTATGATTTTATCATCATTCTGGCAGCTTTTATTTAACACAATGTGGTGGCTTATGGCCTTTGTAAACCATTGGTCTAGAGCCCACAATGCTATCATAATCCATCTGCCTGTGATCACAGCACTGCCAGGACCATCAGTTAATTACACATACACTTCATTTCCTAGAGAGATCGTGCACCTCGATTTCTACCCACAGTTTTCCCCAATGTATTTGTCATTCATGTGGTGTTATACCACTTTCGTGACCGACACCAAATTACAAAGCGACCGGTTTGGGTTTCGTAGTGTGTGGTGACGCACTCATCGTACGCAGTGCTTTTGGAGGCCAGGGTTGCTGGATCATAGTACGTAGATTTGAGACTTCCAAAAAACCCAGTGGGCTGCGGGGCATATGGCGGAACAGCAAGTGGGCTCCGTGAACCCATCTGTGTGGACCTGTTGGTGGGGTTTTCTTCGGGCACCCCAGTTGTCTTCCACGTGAGAAATTGCACGACAAAGAGGAACTGAAATTTCGATTTAAAGCTTTCGTGACTGCAGGGATTCATCTTCTTGGTTCTTTCGGTAAAGTCACGTAGAATGTAAATAATAAAATAATAAAAATAAAACATAATAAAATAATTCTCACGACGTTTCGGCCACAACGCAAGCAGCCGTCCTCAGGTGAAGAACAGGTCTGTCGATAAGACAGAGTCTGAATGACACGTCCTAGGCTTGGAGCGTCTATTTAAGCTGGGAGGGAGGAGGAAGAGCGCCTTGACAAAAGAATTTGCATATCTTGATTTGTAAATTCAGCTTAAATAGACGCTCCAAGCCTAGGACGTGTCATTCAGACTCTGTCTTATCGACAGACCTGTTCTTCACCTGAGGACGGCTGCTTGCGTTGTGGCCAAAACGTCACGAGAATTATTTTATTATGTTTTATTATTTTATTATTTCCATTCTACGTGACTTTACCGAAAGAACCAAGAAGAAAAAAAATAGTTGTACGGTAGTCGTAACTATTAATCCTATAAAGTGGCACGGTGGAATCCTGATGGCAAAGACGGGGTCAATAGACATTTACGCGAATCAAGATTCACCCCCCTCCCCCACCCTTCCACCCCAGCCGATGATTCGATGAATTGTCACGATTCTCCTCTATGGAATAAATGTCACTTATTTACCATCTCATTTGCGTCGCTTATGGTTGTTGCTGTCTCGTTGTTTGTCGAGATGTGTTCGCACTCTACGACTGCACTTGCGAGTGGCAGCGAGTCCAGGAGCCAGACGCCAGTGTCGAGGTCTGGCCCGCAGCGAGAGGGCTTCAGGGGAGAGTTCGTGTCGTCTGGCTGTTCCTCTTCCGTTGGAGGAGCGCAGATTGCAGTGGGTTCACGGCATTTAATATTATCGGCGTAAAACGTAGCATTGGCATTTAATTTTCTTCGAATTTTCGCAAAATATAAATAATCGGCTCTCACGCGCGCAACGCGATGCGCGTATCGGGATGAGGCGTGCGACGCTTGCTTTCTAGAGACGGGCCAACGACGCATCGTTGCGTGCCTGCCAGGCAGAGCACGCCCGTGTCTGTTGCGGTGTTTTTTTAAAAATCCTTTATATTAAGTTCGCTTGCTTGCTTACGACCGTGCAAATCTTTCGGTCGTTTTTTAACCCACTTCCCGTGATCCAATCGAGCTGACATTTTGCACACAGACTCGTTGTGCGTGACAATTAATTTTCGTGACAATTTTTTTTCCAAAATTTTACACTGTTTAGGGAATTTTTTTTAAATATTTAATTACCAATTGCTTAATGGTGGCAGACAATCATCTGACCCATAGGTGGCAGCCATCTCAAGCCAGAGGACGAGAGGACTCTAGCCGCCACGCATATAAAGAGATTTATAGTGAAAAACTTTGTTTTTACGGGTTAAATTTTTCAAGAGCGTGTTTAGAGAGGAGGGCGGGTAGTGGTCGCCGCCGGACACACGAACGCTCACCGAACGCCTTGGCGACGTCTCCGGGACACGTGCAACCTCCGTCCTGGAAGGGAACGAGGGAGGGACGGAGGGAAGAGCGCGGAGCGAGTCGTGAGAGCCACCCTGCCTCCCTCCCCCCTAGAGCCGACTCAAGCAATCGAATCGATGAGTCGGCCGGACGATCGGTTCCGCTACTCGACCAGTGGGATAACAGGACAACCAGTTGGGGATTTTTTGAAATCCTTTATATTAAGTTCACTTGCTTGCTTGCGCGCTTACGACCGTGCAAATATTTCGGTCGTTTTTTAACCCACTTCCCGTGATCCAATCGAGCTGACATTTTGCACACAGACTCGTTGTGCGTGAAAATTTTTTTCCAAAATTTTCCACATTTATAGGATTTTTTTTTTCATATTTAATTTAAGATACCAATGTGATAAAAATGAAACTCTTACTCAAGAAAAACAGAAATGAATAATAAAATAAAACCGATGCCACGTATATAAAGGATTTATAGTGAAAAACTTTGTTTTTACGGGTTAATTTTTCTCCCCCTTCTAATCTTCGTACGTCCACCACGTGGACGGGAGGTGACGAGCGGCGCTTGGTGAAGTCACCCTCCTCCATTGGCGCTTGCTGTAGAGGTTCACGGTTCGAATCTATGGGCCACCCTGGTTATTACTGCGGGTGTAATAACCACATTAAAACTACGTCTGCTTCACTCGCTGTGGACGTTAAAGATCCATTGACGTCATTCGCAAGAGGAGGACGTTGCGTGCTGGTGTCGGGGTCCAAATTTGCCAAATTCTAAAATGATACCGCGAATGACTCAATTCGGGATTATGCACAGCAGCAACCATCGGCCCCCTACTCAAGAGACCAGGATAGAGTCCTATTTGCAAGAGTGACCTGGGGAGACAAAGGCGGCCGGGCGCGGTTTTGGCCACCCACCCCCTCGTGTGCCGTGGCGGCCTGCATAGGTGCTCGCTAACATCATTTGCCCCTACAGTCTGTTAAGGCTATACGGGGAATCTTTGTACACATCGCACCGGGTACTCATTTGAGGCTGAGTCGACCTAGGGGAGGCCCAGGACCGGTTCAGATAATCGTCACCGGTGTTGGCCGTGAGCGGGAATCGAATCCGGGTCGCCAGGTTTGTAGCGTAACGCGCTAACCGCTGCACCACCGCTAACCTGTGTATCTCTGTGTGTGCGTGTCTGTGTGTCTCTGTGCGTGTCTGTGTGTCTCTGTGTGTGCGTGTCTGTGTATCTCTGTGTGTGCGTGTCTGTGTGTCTCTGTGTATGCGTGTCTGTGTGTCTATGTGTGTGTGTTTCTGTGTGTCTCTGTGTGTGCGTGTCTGTGTGTTTCTGTGTGTCTCTGTGTGTGCGTGTTTGTGTGTCTGTGTGTGCGTGTCTGTGTGTCTCTGTGTGTCTCTGTGTGTGTGCGTGTCTCTGTGTCTGTGTGTCTCTGTGTGTGTCTCTGTCTGCGTGTCTCTGTGTGTCTCTGTGTGTGCGTGTCTCTGTGTCTGTGTGTCTCTGTGTGTGTCTCTGTCTGCGTGTCTCTGTGTGTCTCTGTGTGTGCGTGTCTGTGTGTCTCTGTGTGTGTGCGTGTCTGTGTGTGTGCGTGTCTGTGTGTATGTGTGTGTGCGTGTCTGTGTGTGTGCGTGTCTCTGTCTGTGTGTCTCTATGTGCGTGTCTGTGTGTGTGCGTGTCTCTGTCTGTGTGTCTCTATGTGCGTGTCTGTGTGTGTGCGTGTCTCTGTCTGCGTGTCTCTGTGCTGCACGCACCGAGATGATGTGTCCCTTGAGGCCGTGTGCCGCGTCCCCGCACTCGATGACGGCGCTCAGCTGCGGGTAGCCCACGCCGGTCTTGCGCCGCGTCGTGCACACCGAGCCTGGCGCACACGCAGTCGATCCCTCCCTCTCTCTCTCTACACGTGTGTGCAACACGTGTGTTGACACGCGTGTGCGAGTGTTGACACGCGTGTGCGAGTGTTGACACGCGTGTGCGAGTGTTGACACGTGTGTGACACGTGCGTTTTGACATGTGTGCACCCACGCGTGTGCATTCACACACGTGCACACTCACACACATGTACACTCACACACACGTGCGTGTTAACATGTGAGGGCTCACGCACCTTAATACGTGTGTATGAGTGTTAACACGTGTACACACATACACGTGTATACTCTCACACGTGTATACTCACACACGTGTACACTCACACGTGTACACTCACACACGTGTACACACTCACACGTGTACACTCACACACGTGTACACTCACACACGTGTGTACTCACACACGTGTACGCAGATACACGTGTACACTCTCGTGCGTCCATTGATGTGGCTCCACGCGTGCACACATTCACCACAACACGTGCTGCTGATCGTTCTCTCAATGTATCCCTGGGCATCTCTGTCTGTCTCCCTCCGCATCTCTCTCCATGTCTCTCCCTGTTTCTATCTCTTTTCACGTCTCTTACTGTGTATTTGTCTCTGCTTTACCTATCTCTCTGCTGCAGGTCTCTGTGTATCTGTTTCTGTGTGTTTGTGTCTGTCTCCGAGTATAGATCTGTGTGTCTGTCACGAGGGCTCCATGGATGCATCTCTGCATATGCACGCACGCCAGCATGAACGTTGAAACTGAAAACACATTCGCCGCCAGTACACACACACACAGACACCCACAAGCCTCCTTTGCAGAACACACCTGTCATCCCAGCAAGCTCTCGTCTGATTTAATTAACGCCTGTGATTTTGTCAACAGCACCAATTGCACGAGTAACAGAGACGGCCCACTGTTATTTGTTGCAAGTCAACATGATGCAGCAGATGATATCACGGGCAGTCAGTGACCTCAACGGTTATCGACGATGTCATTACCTGGTCCGATCCCCACTTTGATGATATCAGCCCCTGTCAGGATCAGCTCCTCCACCATCTCCCCCGTCACCACGTTCCCTGCCTGGGGGTTCAGATTTAAACGATTAAACTATTTTACTCTTTGGTTCTCTCGGTAAAGTCACGTAGGTAGACAAAATAATAGATCACGACGTTTCGATCGCAACACAAGCGGCCGTCTTCAGGTGAGAGGATTTCAAACTAATTTTTGTTTATTTGACCAGGTAAGGCCCGCTGACCTACAAAGCTTTTTTTTAGAAGCGACCTGGCCACAAATGATCGCTCAACGAGGTGGAAATTTACAGCAGCCAAATACTCTAAACGCCTGTTTCTAAATGTGGAGAGGAAAACCGGAGAACCCGGAGAAAAATCCACGTGACCACGGGGAGAACGCAAACTCCATATATGCACGCGTCAGGGTCGGGATCGAACCCCAAACCTTCTGTATACCAGGCGAGGTAGTGAACATCTCGCTCGCGTGCTGAGAGTAGGCAGCGCGTGGGTTCATGGAGTGTGGTGGTTGCAGAGGCGGCCGTTTGGGTCAAGAGGTCAGAGCCGTGAGCCGACATTGGCGAGATTCTGGGTTTGAATTTGGGTGTCGGCCATCCGAGAAGCGGACGGGTTTCTCAAGCGAAGAGAGTTGACGTGTACTCATGATCGCACACACAAAAAAACACAAAACGGTTTTTAAGTTCATCTGGCAAAATTGAGAATTCAATGTATTGCTTTGACTGCTATTGAGTATGATCAGCTCGATAGCAGGGCGCATGGAGGAGTGCCCTGTCCGTCGTGTGGACAAGATGCCACTTTCAGTGACGACATCGTCCTGCTGCTCGATTTGAGACCGGAAGCACGTGGGTTGCTTCACGATTCTGGCAAATCGCCCGATGATGATGCTGGATGTAATTACCAGCGAAACGTCGGACCACTCAAATTGTAAATGTTGTAGATTTACTCTCCAACACACCGGTGGGCTGAAGTAGTAACTAATTGGCGTTTTGTTTGTGACGAATCCCTTACTAATTGGCTGTATCGGGTAGTGGAGGGTTACAACACATTTGTATTTGACACGGAGTAGGCTTTCGCGACCAATATTATTCATAATAAAGGTGTTTGGGTTAGATCGCGTTATTTATAAATGTGTCGTAACCCTCCACCACCCGACACGGCCAAACAGTAAAAAATGTGTCACGTTTACAAAGAACAAATATGTCACTACTTTAGCCCACCGGTGTGTTGAAGAGTGAATCAACATCATTTAAAATTTGAGTAGTACGACGTTTCGCTGGTAATTACATCCAGCTTCATCGGGCGATTTGCCAGAATGGTGAGGCTCTCCTCTTGCTCCCGGTCGTGTCGTGTAGGATATCGAACATTTGGAACACATTTTGGAAAACAACAAGAGGTAAGAATGGTGGCACCGTGCGTGCAACGTGGCTCCGCGCACGGTGTACGCTAATTACAGAAATTGACCCGGAATTACCCGAAGTCAATTCAACTTTAAATGAGTACCAGGTGTGGCTTGTGCCAGCCGTACGTGCGTGGTAATGCTTATCGAGTATCACGTTCCCCTGCACTGAGTAAATATTCATCGTTGTTCGCTTACAGCACATTGGCTCTGCAATCTGTATGGCTAGACGGGAAACTTTGATGTTGTTTTCGTATGTACAGGGAGGGACCCCGGTTGGGCGGTGGTGTCTGGCGGTGTGGTTTAGTTGTGGTGTTTGGAGGTGGTGCGGGTTATCAGCTGTGTGGGTTCGTGGCGGTTTTTGGCTGCGGTGTGGTTTAGTGGTAGTGTTTGGCGTTAGTCTAGGTTAGCGGTGGGTTTTGGCGTCAGTCTGGGTTAGAGGTTTGGCAGTAGTGTGTGATAGTGGTGGTGTGCGTTAGTGGTGGTGTGCGTTAGTGGTGGTGTGCGTTAGGCGTGGTGTACGGCAGTGGCAGGGTGGGTGAACTGCAGTGTGGGTGAGTGGTATTGTGTGGTGGTGGTGTGGATTAGTGGTAGTGTTTGGCGTTAGTCTGGGTTAGCGGTGGTTTTTGGCAGTGGTGTGGATTAGTGGTGGTGTTTGGCGTTAGTCTGGGTTAGCGGTTTGGCAGTGGTGTGCGTTAGTGGTGGTGTGCGTTGGGCGTGGTGTGCGGCAGTGGCAGGGTGGGTGAACAGCGGTGTGGGTGAGTGGTATTGTGTGGTGATGGTGTGGATTAGTGGTAGTGTTTGGCGTTAGTCTGGGTTAGCGGTGGTTTTTGGCAGTGGTGGGCGTTAGTGGTGGTGTGCGTTATGCGTGGTGTGCGGCAGTGGCAGGGTGGGTGAACAGCAGTGTGGGTGAGTGGCATTGTGTGGTGGTGGTTCGGGTTAGTGGTAGTGCTTGGCGGTGTGTGGCCACGGCGGTGTGGGATGTGCGGGAAGGGGGCCCCACCATGATGGTGTGCTTGGGGAAGCGCTCTCGCACGCTGCGCACGAACTCCACAAAGTGCTCCGAGTAGCCGTTGGCCACGTCCAGGCAGATGTAGCGCACGGCCGGCACGGCGTCCAGCACGGCCGCCAGCCGCTCCATGTCGCTTGGGCCGCTCCCCGAGCTCGCCGCTATGTGCTGCACAGAGGTCGCAAACGGGTTTTGATTGCTTACCCGTACCCGGCCGCACCAGGGTCGCAAATGGGTACCCGTACCCGGCCGTACTCGTACCCTACCCGTACCTGGCTGGGTACGGGTAGGGTACGGGTATCGGGTACCTGATTGCGACCTCTGGGATGAAGCCATGTTGCAGGCGCAGGTGGGTTGATTCTAGGAACTTGAATTGTGAGAAGAGACAAGACGTTGGGAAATGAGTGACAAACAGTTACTCACCAGTGACTCACGGCCTACCCGTACCCGGCCGCACCAGGGTCGCAAACGGGTACCCGTACCCGGCCGGGTACGGGTAGCCGGGTATCGGGTAGGGTACGGGTATCGGGTACCCGGTTGCAACCTCTGGTGCTGCAGCAGCAACAACAACACCCGCCATTCACCATTGAGTGGTGGTGATGTCACCACGGTTCTTGTACCAGGCTAGGTGCACTTTACAACAACAGCAGGCGGCATTCGCCACCGAATGGCGGTGACGTCCACACGGCGCCTGTACCAGGCTAGGTGCACTTTAAGGCTGTCACGTGAAGCGCCGAAGGCTCTCTGGCAGGAGGTCACGGGACAGACCCAGGTGCCATGGGTTGACTGAGATGATTAGTAGATTGCTCCAGCTGCACGCACGTACGTAGACGCATATAAAGCAAAGACTCCTCTCCGTATAGCCTTCCACACACTGTTGAATCAGGTGCTGTTAGCGAGCACCTATGGAGGTCGACAGGGCACATTCAGGGGGTGGGTGGCCAATACCACGCCGGGTCACATCTGGGGTCACCGGTTGCGTTGCACAGTGCGCTCACCAGAATCGGAATGTTTATTTACACTGGAGGAATCCGATGAGTTGTAAAGCTCTTTTCTCACAGACACCCAGTCGGGCATGGCTGGTGACGAGCCGTGTGAGTGTGGCACGGTTGTAATTTTCGCTTACCTCCAAGCACTCTGGGTTTTTGTTGGCAAAGTCTCGCCACTCGTCCACGCTGTAGTGCTTGTGTATCGCGGTGAACATCGTGTGCTGCAACAGGGGTCACGACAGCGGGCAGGGCACGCACGGGGGTGAGCATTGCCGGCGGCACCACACAGAAAAGACAAAGATACCCCATGCCAACGACGATTATTTGTACTCTTAGTTTTTTCGGTAAAGTCACGTAGGTAAAAAATGAAATTAAAATCAATAAATTAAATAATAATATAAAAAATTACCTACGTGACTTTACCGAAAAAACTAAGAGTATGAATCCTTGCAGTCACGAAAGCTTCAAATCTAGAACGACTATTTGTGTTTCTTTTACCAGGTAAGGTCCACTGAGCTACACAGCTCTTTTTAAGAAGCGATTTCGGCCACAAATGAAAGCTCAACGGAGGTGGCCCACGCGATAAGCCACTTCGTTGGGCTGATGCTTGGCGATTTGGCCCTCAGCGTTCAGGCTGCGTGAAAGTTCACGCTCCAAATCGGGCATTGGCCCTCGATGCCTCGTGTCAATAAATGCAACGTTGGGCTCATTTTCTTCTTCTTGGTTCTTTCAGTAAAGTCACGTAGAAGGGAAGTAATAAAATAATAAAACAAAACATAATAAAATAATTCTCACGACGTTTCGGCCACAACGCAAGCAGCCGTCCTCAAGTGAAGAACAGGTCTGTCGGGGAGACAGCGTCTGGGCTCATTGAGGGGGGTTGGTGGACGTAGTCATGGCAGCTCACATCGAGTAACAATAATAACAATTCACATTTTGTACGGCGCATTTCATCCGTAGATCCTCTGTAGGCATAGGGGGGGGGGGGGGGCAGTGGAGTCAATTAAAGGAGGCGGTAGAGCATATGGCTTGACCTCGACCGCAGTTCCATGCTTTCGGGGGAGGGGTGGAAGGGGACTGGAGGGGGCTGTTGAAGGCTGCTCACATGTATGTGTAGGGGTGTCAGGGGAAGGATTCCCACCAATAGGAGGGTCAGTGGGAGGGGTGATCGAGGAGATATAAGGGGAGAACGGGCGGGAAGAAGGGGCCTTTTGGCGGGAACGAGATTGGGACGGCTGGGGACAGGTGTGGATGGGGGAAAAGGATTACAAGACGAACCCCCTGCAATCTTGTGTCGGCTCTCCTTTACATATGTACCAAGTGGCATGGATGTTACCACCGTGCTTGGCCTAGGCAGTGCCGGATTAAGTTAGTGCGGGGCCTGTAGCATATGTTATAAAGGGGCCTTAAATAAATGAAAAACACATCAATATTAAAACACACATGTTTTACTTGCATAGTAAAGTATATGTATTCTTTCATTAGCGATACAGCCAGATAATTCGACAAACCTTAAACACCCAGTCGTTCGTAAAAGTTGAAGGCGGTATAGTACTATATTAATAGAGCAAGTATAGAATCACTGAAACGGAATTGATAGCTTGAAAGCATTTAGCGCGGGGCCAAACTAAACACAAACAGCAGTTTTAAATAAATGAGTTTTCACACGATGACTGATCTCTTGCAGTGGAAGTTAAATGCAATTTAAATGTTCTGACTTCATATGTTTGCTGCCTTCGTACAGTATATTATATGAAGGCCGCTATGTGCTGCCTTCATATATTAGGCAGCAAATGATATATTAAGAACCTATATTATGGAATATACAACCCGCCTGTAATAATTGAAGGGGGCCTGTACAAAACGCAAAATAAACGACGGCCGTTGCATCCTTTACTTTTTTGTGTTTAGTTTGTTGTCCTTCCCCCGCGCCTCCGATAAGCGCGGTTGGCTACGTACGGTGCGAAAGAAGTTCAACATGCGGTGCCATGCACAGGGGGTGAGCGCGAGAGCTGAACGTGCACCGTGGACAAGAGCAGATCCGTAATATAGTAACTAATCGGCGTTTTTTTGTGTGACGAATCCCTTACTAATTGGCTGTGTCGGGTAGTGGAGGATTACAACACATTTATATTTGACACGTTGGCTTTCGCGACCAATATTATTCACAATAAAGGTTTTAGGGTCAGATCGCGTTATTTATAAATGTGTCGTTAAACCCGCCACCACCCGACACAGCCAATTAGTAAGGTTTGTCACGTAAGCAGAACGTGCCAATTCGTTACTAGTACGACACACCGGGTGTGTTGGAGGCCAAATCCAGAACATACATAGATCCCTATCGTTACTCGATCTAATCTAGATTTGAAGCTTTCGTGACTGCAGGAACCCATACTCTTTGGTTCTTTCGGTAAAGTCACGTAGGTAGAAAATAAAATAAATCACGACGTTTCGGGCGCAACACAAGCGTCCTTCCTCAGGTGGGAAAGCATGGTCTGCTGCTGAGGAAGACTGTTTTAAAAGGTTTGAAATGAGTGTAGCCCGAGGGTCAGCTCAGCGTTTAACATTTTGGGTTTAACCCCAACTGCGCCGTGTGCCCCAAGCCCCCCTTGTTCACCACGACCGGTTGACAAAACGCGGTGTCATGACCGGGGCCGCTCCCGTTCCGTGTGCGTGGGATCCCCGCTCAGTGGGATCCCCGCTCTGTGGGATCCCCGCTCTGTGGGATCCCCGCTCAGTGGGATCCCCGCTCTGGCTGGCAGCGCGTGTGGGGCCGTGATCGCTGACACTTCACGTGGCCCCAAGGTGCACATGGCCTGGCACAAGCGTCGTGGTGACGTCACCGCCACTTAGTGGCGAATGGCTGTTGTTGTTGTTGTCTCTCCCACGGCAAGGAGGAGGAGGAGCAGCAGCAACCTTGCTGAAGGCGCGAGCCATCTCGAAGGTGCCCACGGTGTCCATGTTGGCGGCGATGATTGGGATGCCATGGTAGGTGCGCTGCGAGTTCCGGAACGTGAACGTGCGCGTCAAGTCCACCTGTCCAGAGGTGGGGGTCGGGGTGGTGGGGGGGGGGTGAGAGATGAGACAAAGACAAAGATTCCCCGAATAAATTTCGATTTAACGCTTTCGTGACTGCAGGGATTCATCTTCTTGGTTCTTTCGGTAAAGTCACGTAGAATGGAAGAGCGCCTTGACAAAAGAATTTGCATATCTGTATATGCAAATTCAGCTTAAATAGACGCTCCAAGCCTAGGACGTGTCATTCAGACTCTGTCTCCTCGACAGACCTGTTCTCCACCTGAGGACGGCTGCTTGCGTTGTGGCCGAAACGTCGTGAGAATTATTTTATTATGTTTTATTTTTATTATTTTATTATTTCCATTCTACGTGACTTTACCGAAAGAACCAAGAAGATATTCCCCGAATAGAATAGTCTCAACAGACTGTTGGGGCAAGTGCTGGAAGCGAGCAGCACCTATCAGTAGCGTAACGAGCGTGGGGGCAAGATGGTGCCTTGCCCCCCCCCCCCGGTTGCTAAAGCTACGAGTTGGGGCCCCCTTGACAAACACCACGAGATATGTTTTTAACAACAGTGTAAAAGAGCAACAAATACATTTAAATATATTTTTTTGTCATGAAAATGTTTAATGATGTGATTTGGCAAGAGGAGCCGTGGTATATAATGGCCTCGAGGTGCGACCGTGCGAGACAAATCAAATATTGGGGCCCCACCTGGCCATTTGCAGCACCCACTTAGCTGATGATGTCGTCGTTACTACGCCAATGGTGCCTGTGAAGACCGGGATGGCACGCGAGGGGATGGACAGCAGTTTTTTCTTGCTGTGGTTGTCCCACCTGATGACGATTGCTTGTGTTGCGATCGAAACGTCGTGATCTATTGTTTTTCTACCTACGTGACTTTACCGAAAGAACCAAAGAGTATGGATTCCTGCAGTCACGAAAGCTTCAAATCAAGATATAACTCGACTTGCTGGAGTAACTCGAGTTACTCGAAAAATCACGGAAGCGCCACTCGCTTTACCAATTCAAGTTTTCCTTGAACTCAAAAATCGGGGCTAAGCTTGAGGACACTTCAGCTCTTTCCAGACCGCGGTCCATGGAAACGAGGTGCCGTGAAGCCACTTACCGTTGTGAACAGTCAATATGAATGTTAAATTATATATTTTTTTATATTATCAATGTGGTTTAAAGCTTTCGTGACTGCAGGGATTCATCTTCTTGGTTCTTTCGGTAAGGTCACGTAGAAGGGAAATAATAAAATAATAAAAACGAAACATTATAAAATAAAATTCTCACGACGTTTCGGCCACAACGCAAGCAGCCGTCCTGCTATACACCACTCCAATAGTCCTGACAGCAATATGTGGCTCAACCATCTCAATGTAACCACCTCAATTACCTGCTCGACATGAACATCAAAGAAGAAGATCATAAGCGATGAAGGGGTGTATTGTATGTTTGTTGAGCTTTCGCACCGTACGTAGCCAACCGTGCTAACCAGAGGTGACACCTTTGCAGGATCTACCACCATGGCATTGGTAACCCAAAACACAGTTCAAACTTTGTCAAATTGTCTATCTGCAATATTTTGGATTTGTCAATGTTTTTATTTTTCCGTATCCTCCTTTTACCCCTCCCCCCGGGGTCACCCTTGAATAAGAGCTCAATTGGCCCTAGGCCGGGCAAACAAAAATAAATAAAATCAACGAAACTTTTGTTACACTGTACATTTGTGTGATTAGATGAAACGGGTTGAATATACAATATGTACGAGTGGGGACACATGCAGTGCCTTATTACGGGACGTCCAGTGCCAAGTTTTGCAACTCTGTACTCGCACACGGATTAGTGGTATCAGGACAGATGCCCCCACCCCCCCGAGGTACCTATAACATGACACGGATAATAGGACTGCAGTTAGGACAACTTTCCCTGTATGTGTGATGTGCTCTATTCTACCATTATTGACGTTTGACCAAGTCATTCGGAACTTGATCATGTACATCATGGGATCTCCTTTGCCAGTACCAAAATATACTAATAGGGTTTTTCCCCTTTTTTCTGGCAACAAAACTGACACCTTTTGCAAGGAATCATGCTTACATTAACCACAATACCTGCAGTCAAATGATTGAATATTACATATTCATCATCATCACGGTCCATGGGCAGATCGTCTGTAGGTGTTCACTGCACATTTCGTCATTTGTTTCCACTTTTCCCTGTCTTGTGCCAACATGCTCAAGTAGCGCCACATATTTTTGGCACCGATCTCTTACGTCGTCAAGCCATGCTCTGTTAGGTCTTTCTCTCCGGTTCCTTCCATTTTTCCATAACAACACCGCTATTAATTTTCCTGTTGTTGTCCATCCTACATATGTGTTCACACAGTTACATTAACGCATTCCTGCGGAGGGAGCTGGTAGGAACGTTGGGTTGCTCGGTCAAAGGCCAGGGTCAACGGCGGCGTGGTGTATTCCGCAAATATGCCCGACTGTGAGGGCGGGCACAAGCCGGCGTGAGTAGGTTAAACGTTGAGTTTAAAAGGGCACCACGGGGTGACCAGCCCCTCCCCACCCAGCCCCAACCCTCCAAACCCCTACCCAGCTCCACCCTCCCCACCCAGCCCCACCCTCCCCACCCAGCCCCACCCTTCCCACCCAGCCCCTCCCCATCCTCCCCACCCTCCCTTCTCCACCCAGCCCCACCTCTCCCATTTTTGGATGCACGACGGACGGACGGACACAATAATCCCCTGTGGGCTGGTGTAACCAGGAGGTTCCTACCAGTACAATTAGTGAAACCACTCTGCCCCACTGGACATGAAAGAAGCTTTAAGTACGGTCGGCGAATCTTGATGTCCAGACCAGGCTTCATGAACCTTTGGCTACTGCTGCTGTTGCTGTCTGCGAGTATTTAAACCGTACACACAGTGGAATGAGACGCGTCATCGCGTTACATTCCCACTCCGTAATTCATTGCTAGGGAGACGGAGCGAAAGGTGAACGACTCTGGTAACAACCGGGCACGAAGGCGCAACCGAAACAGGTCGGAAAATGAACTTCAGTAAAGACTGCGGACACCTGAAATCTAAGTCAAATGTACGATTACATTGACCCATTATGTTACTTGCCAATTATATTCGGTCATACGATACTTGTAACACATGGGTAAAGGAATACTGTGGACACCGTGTACTTATACTGCACTGTCATTTGCGGTGTCAGCCAGAACTCGAACGCTGGCTCTTTCATATGTTTACACCAAATCCATTGCGGTAAACAGTGATACAGTACTGTAGAAGATTCCGGCATGCCAATGCCTTTTAAAGCCTTGGGCAGCGATCCTCATCACCTCCACGGGTCAGACAAGTGGCAGGGGGGTGCAGCGGTAATTCGCGTGTGTCACGCAGCGAGAAGGACCCCAAAGTGGTTTCTGACTCGGGGGCCTTTTCTTCGTGGACTGTGTATATGTCTTGACTTAAAGCTGTCGTGGCTGCAGGAATTCATATTCATTGGGTCTTTCGGTAAAGTCACGTAGATAGAACAATAAAATAATAAAAATGAAAATAAAGTGGAAAAAAATTGTAATAAAATATGTTTTCACTTTTTTTTCATTTTTATTTTTTGTTTATATTCTTTTATTGTTCTATCTACGCTGTGAGTTTTTGTCGTTGTTGATGCTGTTGTGTAGTAACTGTAATGAGACCATCTTCTTGGTTCTTTCGGTAAAGTCACGTAGAAGGGAAATAATAAAAAAATAAAACATAATAAAATAATTCATAATAAAATAATATTACAATTATTTATTGTTTTATTTTTATTTTTTTATTTTTTCCCTTCTACGTGACTTTACCGAAAGACCCAAAGACTATGAATTCCTGCAGTCACGAAAGCTTTAAGTCAAAATAAAATAATACAAATTATTTTGTTATTATTTTTTCCATCTACGTGACTTTACCGAAAGACCCAAATAATATGTGCATATGTCCTCCACCTGTTCTGCATGGGTTTGGGTTTAGCTCATAGCTAAGCACATACAGTGTTATTAGTTTTGACTAAATATCCGGATTCATAGACCCTCCTGAACAAAAGTGTGTTTCTTTTGTGTGTGGCTTTCCTGGATGAATTCTCTTTCTAGTATAGAAATCGCGCTTGCCGAGACCATATGAGGTGGCAGGCTTAGTTGTGGCTACCGCACTGATACTGTACACACAAAAGGTGACAGACAAAAGCACGATTGTGACTACAACACGGGCCCTCCCATCGTTCTAGATTTGAAGCTTTCGTGACTGCAAGGATTCATATTCTTAGGTTTTTTCGGTAAAGTCACGTAGGTAAAAAAATTAAAATTAATAAAAGTAAAATAAAAACAACGTCGTGATTTCAATTTTATTTATTTATTTATTTTTATTTTACTTTTATTAATTTTATTTTTTTTACCTACGTGACTTTACCGAAAAAACCTAAGAATATGAATCCTTGCAGTCACGAAAGCTTCAAATCTAGAACGATGGGAGGGCCCGTGTTGTAGTCACAATCGTGCTTTTGTCTGTCACCTTTTGTGTGTACAGTATCAGTGCGGTAGCCACAACTAAGCCTGCCACCTCATATGGTCTCGGCAAGCGCGATTTCTATACTAGAAAGAGAATTCATCCAGGAAAGCCACACACAAAAGAAACACACTTTTGTTCAGGAGGGTCTATGAATCCGGATATTTAGTCAAAACTAATAACACTGTATGTGCTTAGCTATGAGCTAAACCCAAACCCATGCAGAACAGGTGGAGGACATATGCACATATTATTTGGGTCTTTCGGTAAAGTCACGTAGATGGAAAAAATAATAACAAAATAATTTGTATTATTTTATTTTGACTTAAAGCTTTCGTGACTGCAGGAATTCATAGTCTTTGGGTCTTTCGGTAAAGTCACGTAGAAGGGAAAAAAAATAAAAAAATAAAAATAAAACAATAAATAATTGTAATATTATTTTATTATGAATTATTTTATTATG